TTCTATGGCCAAGTGAACATGAAAACCAGTACTCATGATGAGGTTTAGTAGATATGATTTATATCATGATTAGGCTTAGGCAAGGTCTAGGGCAGTGTATCCAAATGATAATCAAGTTTTTAATGTCATCAAAAAGTTAATAGAATAATCAATTTTTATATCATCTTGAAGTTTTAAAAGATTTGTTTTACATTGGTCACAGTTATAATGTGGTTTATGTATAATAGAAGCAGAAGTGATCTCACTGTTTGTTTTAAGCTGAAATGGACTGAGACTGCTGTAGTTTTTTTTCGATTTATGGGCAGTAGCATGATTGGATACAAAAATCCTTGCCGCGTAATATGTGCATTTCGTAAGTTAGAGCAAGCAAAGATGTTACTCAAGTTTTATAAACTAACCATGGACCTATGTAGTTGTGAAAAAGGATGACTTTCAGTGCACAAATTCAAAGCTGGGACAGCTATTGCTAAGGCCACTAGGATAATAAATGTTCCTAATTACTCAAGGCTAAAGATGCTTCCTTTGAAATTTAGGGTTGATCAGAATGGTAATCTGATGTGAATACAGTAACTCCAAGTGAGGAATTCAGGATCATTGTAACAACTTTTTTAAAAATTGTGGTGCTGAGCTAACACTGTCAATGTCAAAATGACAATGTCAAAAGCTTGACTTTAGTTAGAAGTCAAATCCGATAGATATTTGATGAATTCCTGAGGAAATGGCATGTTTTAATTAACAGAGTGATGGAAAATCTGATGTGCCTTGAGGCTGAAAAAGTCTCTAATTTGTTTGCTTTTGTTTCCAGACAATAGATTTCAGGGTCAAATATAACCTGGAGTACAGATTCAGTCTAACATTAAAAAGAGGGAAAGCATTGTGATTATAAAGATGCCAGAACTTTGGAGTATTGTATTTTATAAACAAAATTACAGTTGGATTGAATGTTGAACTTAGAATTTAAAAAAGAACTAACAGTTACATCTATACTTGCCATTTGCCATTAACAAATGCAGCAGGGACTTAATGTACTCATAATAGATGCAAGCTGTTTTTCAATGAGCATCCATTACTTATAATGGCCTATAGCATTAAATGTAGCAGCAACCTAGAGGCTGGACAAAGCTGCGTTATGCTTAAGATCAAACCTATTCACTGTTATTAGATAGTCGTGCACAAGATAATGCATTTCAGCAGAACTCTAGCTACTGGAACTGAAATAAGAACAAAGAACAGAAGAAATAGGAGCAGGAGAAGGCCATTAGGCCCTTCAAGCCTACCCCACTATTCAAGAAGATCATGGACAATCTGCTCCAGGTCTCAACTCCTCTTTATGCCTATTCGTCATAAATGACAACCTCCAATATTTCAAAAATCTACATCCCCTTTAAATATTTTTAGATATCTAGCCTCTACAACTCTCCAGGGTCGAGAATTCCAGGCAACCCCTACCTTTGGGAGAAGAAATTTATTTGCAGCTCAGTTCTCATTGTGTTTCACCTCATTCTGGAACTATGTACTTTAGTTCCCCATGAATGAAAACATCATCTCAAAATCTACCCTGGCCAGCCCCCTCAGAATCATGTATGTTTCAATAAGATAACCCTTCATTCTCCAAACTGTAATGAATACAGGCCTAACCAGTTTAGCTGTTTTTGATAAGTCAACACCTTCATTCCAGGAATCAATCAAATTAATCTCTTTTGAACCTTCTCCAATGCCAGTATATCCTTTCTTAAAACAGGAATCAAAGCTACACAGTATTCCACATGTAGATTCATCGTCATCCAATATATCTTTGTTCTGTGTCAATTCGAGGTTTTCACAAAAGTGTCTTGAGCCATGTTTGTAGGGGATGTCCTTTGCTTCCTAACAGCTGTCCTTGTATGGCCTGAGGACCCTGGAAGGAGGCAGAAACCTCTGCGTTTTCCAGTATGTCATTGAAATGACAGTGCCATGCTTTTAGTAACAAGCTGTGAGGTATGTCCCCTGTACATTGCACAATCAAGGTTTTCCTGCTACATTGGAGGAGCAAATTTCTACCAGTAAGCCAGCATGATAAACCCTCTGAAGAAAAGGCTACCCTTCCACATTGCAGCTTGTAAACTTACATACTTCCAGTTCAGTGTGTGAGTGTGGCAGGTGCAAATTGACATCTTCCAATTCTAGTTGTGGAAGACTAGGTGACGCTTTTAAAGTATTTTTGGCTGGTTGCATTTGCTTAGCTGATATGACAAGAAGACAACTAGCATGCACGTTTGATTGGACCTGATTGCTTGAGGTCATAATATTTAATGTGACTATAGGGCAAAGTATAAGTTGGAGAATGAATGGCCTGCTGATGAAATGCAAATTTGAAACCAGATAGATGGATTTTACTGAATCTGTGGAGGCATGATTACTGCAAGTGCCCCAAACAGGGCCTTAAATCCAAAAGGTTTTACATCACCCCTAAGGAAACAAACAAGAACTCACTCAGCTCATTTGGCACATAGTGCCCATGATTATGTCCACCTATTGTCCAGTCTGACTTTTGATCAGACATGGCAAGGCTCCAACTTTTTGTTCTTGTGAGTGAATTGCAGGCTCCACCTCCATGTTCACTTGAGACAGAGCCCCCGACTTGGCAAATTGCCTTGCAATTGATGATCCTACACCGTCTAATCGAGAAGCCAAGTGATAGTGACCTGTGGGGAAAAATCCCTCCTGGAGCTACCAGTCTCCTGCTATGGTCTACAATATCCCACCCTTCCATCTAGAATTGCCCATTTGCATTCTAATCGTTCCCTCACTGGCCTAGTGCAAGGAACCCCAACCCGAAGATCTGAGTTGCCTGATTTTCTCAGAACTCCATGAGATTGTTCCCTGATGAGCTCCCTGCCTGTTATTGAACAAACCCCATGACAGACCATGTGTCCCCAACCACTACTCCCCAGACTGACTTGATAGGACAGCCCAACCAAACACTTCCTGGATTGTTGTCTCCTTGGCACCCTGACTGACCTAACTGTAATTCCAAGACTAGTCCACATGAATTGCAGGACTGACCATGACCCAGTCCCCAGAGTGCAAGGTCATAACTGCCTAGATTCTGGTAAGACCAACAGCTTGACCGACAATGGTGAACGCTCTACCCCATGATGTAATTGGAAATGTCTGTTGATTACTTGTGGCAGTACCTCCTGACCAGCTGTATTCCTCTTTGATCCCTGCTGTTCTTTGATATTCACACGTAGCCATTTGCTTGATGCTCAAGCAATGATTTTGCTAAGTAAGTTGCTGGCACCTGCTGCAGGTATGACAATGATGTAGTCCACTATTGTACAGTGGCACGTCCACTCCCTTGACTGTTCACTGCTCACCACTGAGACAAGCTGCCTGCTTCTCCCTCTGTGCTAGAAAGCCATGCAAGCTGAAGTTGTTGGCACCTGTAACTTACCTGCATGCCTAAAACCATTACAACTCTTGTATCACCCAAGGAAACGTGAAATGAGTGGGCACCAAGAACTCAAGCTAAGAGCCTTAAATGCATCCTTGGTAAATGTGTAGAATATATGCGTGTCACTCTGTGCAAAGCAACTTGGCAGAAGCATGCAAGTCATAAGTTTCCAAAGGGAAGTGTTGAAGAGGTGAAAGAGTTGATCCAAGAGCAGGCATAATGATGTGGAGAGGCTGGTGGCTTGTTGCTGTTGATTTGCGTGGACAAAGCTTTGTGCTCAATGCTGACCATAGAGTCTGTAGAGATATTGTGCGGCAGACACAGTTAAATGAAAACCGAAACAAGCAATTGGCAATTTGCAGTTGCCAATTACGTACACAAAACCAGAAATGGCTGGAAAAACTCAGCAGGTCTGGCAGCATCAGTGGAGAGAAAGCAGAGTTAACGTTTCAACCTTCCTTAAGTTCTGAAGAAAGGTCACTGGACCTGAAACATTAACTCTGCTTTCTCTCCACAGATGCTGCCAGATCTGCTGAGTCTATCCAGCAATTTCTGTTTTTCTTTCTGATTTCCAGCATCCACAGTTCTTTAGTTTCTTTGTTGCCAATTAAATGTCAGGAATTTGTGCCATGCAATATTTTTGGGGAAGGAGAAGAGAATTGGAAGTGGCTTACAAATAAGGCGAGCTGGGTTACTAATGAGATGCAAATAAAGTAAAGTAAATGTTGCCAGCATCTTACTAGATCGTAGGGCTTCTCTCTCATCAGGGTGGGATGATTGGTGGTGGTTTAACCTGAGGATCACCAAATACTTCAGGCAAGGAGAGAGATTAAGAAGAGGAGTCCTTCATGGTAACCTCAGCCTGTGTGGGAATTGAACCTATGCTGCTGGTATCACTCCACATCAAAAAAAATCAATTGTCCAGCCAACTGAACAAACCAACCCCTGGAAAGAGTGGTAGCTGCCAGTCAGTAGTGACATTCTGAAGATGCTATTTAAAGGTTAAGGATAACATTGGAAAACATTTTCTAAATGTTGTGATTCTGTTTTTTTTTCATTCTAACCTTATTTTCCCAACTTTCTTAAATCACAGCAGGCTGAAGAAAATTATGCACATATTTGTTTTCTTACTTCAAAAAGCATTGGGTACAAAAGCCTAGAAAATATGAAGGTATGATCAGAAACTTGACTGATTTAGGCTTTTTTCTCTCCACTCAATAGTGGTGACATTGACGAGACAACTTGCATTGCCAATAGCTAGTTAGACAATTGAGTGGCTGTTTGAAAGTGCATTAATGTGTACATTGTCCAGTGCAAACGAGTCAGGCGTAGGTCAGATTAAGTTGGTATGTCATACTTCAGTTTCTGAAGGACATTATTAAACCAATTCAATTTTTACAACAAAATGACAACTTTATTTATTTTCTAGTACTGATGTATGAATTACCAAATGTATTGATTTCATGTAGAGGTTTAAATGCACCTCCAGGTTGCTATTTTTGAGCATATCATATTTGTGTGGTTAATGTGCTTTTAATACATATCCTTTTCCTTTGTGTTGCAGAATGTTTATCACACACTGCCCTGGAAGTTGTATCTACAACTTGTTACGGTAAACAAAACTGTAAAATTATCGCTAGTAGCCACTATTTTGGAGACCCTTGTTTTCCTGGAATGCAGAAGTATCTCAGTGTCATCTATGTATGTGGTAAGAGCAAACATTTCAACATTAAATTATTTAATTTCAGAGAGAGATGGTTTGAAGTTCTTTTCAGGAGAGAGTTCTTTATTTTTCTTTTCATGGCACACCAGAACCCTTATCAGAAGCATCAAGATTGAAATCGTCTTACTCCAGTACATTCCAGCGAATACGTCGTCTTCTGAAACTTTAAAAAGAAATCTGTCTTAAGAATCTATTCCTATCAAATAACAGGCAATACTAAAAGTTTTGGCAGAGGATAATTGAATGTGCAGAACACCGTCATATTGAGACACATTTTACCATGGGCTTCTGGGCCATGCCATGCAAATAAGAGATGACCCTGAGTCTGCACTTCCTGGAAGCGGGGACCGGCTCAGTCATTTAACAGGAAGCAAGTTCCTAATTGGTCTGACATCCAGTCAAAGGGCTAGCAGTTCTGAGGCCTTAGCTACAGCACGAGGAGAGGTGGGCACTGATTGCAAGCTGAGGGGTGCCTCATTATGGGGGTGCCTCATTATGGAGGTGCCTCAGACAAAAAAGTCAAAATTATAATTCATGATAACTGACATCATTAGACCATGCCATTTGCAGGGCGAATCTCTCCATGGGAATTTTTTTGTGCCCATGGCCTCCTTTAAGGAGCCTGGCATCTCCGGCTCCAATGTACCTCCCTTCCGCATCTGTCGCAGATGAGACCCTCTCTGTCATCATCAAAGTGCTGAGAGCTCTGTAGAAAGGGCAATCAATCTGCCTCACAGACTCTGGGAGCAGGCCAGCAATAGACATCCTTCCTGATGCTGGCTCTCCGTTATTTTATTGCACTCTCATCTTCCATTCCCACCACCTGAGGGCTGGTAAAATTAATTGTTTCAAAAGACGAGAAAGTGAAAAATTTCCTCAGTGACCCCACCTCCAAACTCCGCTCCTGTATCACTGAACCACAATCAAAGGAATAAAGCAGCAGTTATTTTTTTTTAACTAGAAGGCCATCTATTTAATAGTCTACACAGTTTAGAGCTGGAGGAACACAGCAGGCCAGGCAGCATCAGAGGAGCAGGAAAGTTGACGTTTCGGGTCAGGATCCTTCTTCAGAAATGGGGGACGGTAAAGGGGACTCTGAAATAAATAGAGAGGGGGATAGGGCTGGGGAAGGTGGGTGGGATGGTGATAGGTGAGTGCAGGTAGGCAGTGGTGGGGATTGGTCAGTGAGGTGGGAGGAGCGGATAGGTGGGAGAGAAGACGGACAGGTCAAGGAGGCGGGGATGAGAGGGAGCGTTGGTCATGGGCTGGGGAGATTTTGAAACTAGTAAAGTCCACATTGAGACCATTGGGTTGTAGGCTCCCCAGGCGGAATATGAGGTGCTGCTCCTCCAGTTTTCGGGTGGCGTCGTTGTGGCACTGGAGGAGGCCCAAGATGGACATGTCATCCAGGGAGTGGGAGGGGGAGTTGAAGTGGTTCATGACTGGAAGGTGTTGTCGTTTGTTGCGAACAGAGCGCAGGTGCTCTACAAAGTGGTCTCCGAACCTCCGCTTGGTTTCACCGATGTTGAGGAGGCTCAGAGTCTCAGAGACCGCTTTGTAGAGCACCTGCGCTAGGTTCGCGACAAATGACAACACCTTCCAGTCGCGAACCACTTCAACTCCCCCTCCCAATCCCTGGGTGACATGTCCATCCTGGGCCTCCTCCAGTGTCACAATGATGCCATGCGGAAACTGGAGGAACAACACCTCATATTCTGCCTTGGAAGCCTACAGCCCAATGGTCTCAATGTGGATTTTACCAGCTTCAAAATCTCCCCAGCCCCAGCCTCATCCCATGACCAACCGTTCCTCTCATCCCCACGTCCTTGACCTGTCCGTCTTCTCTCCCACTTATCCGCTCCTCCCACCTCATTGACCAATCCCCACCACTGCCTACCTGCACTCACCTATCACCATCCCACCTACCTTCCCCAGCCCAACCCCTTCTCTCTCTATTTAGTTCTGAGTTCCCTTTCCCCCTCCCCCATTTCTGAAGAAGGATCCTGACCTGAAACGTCAACTTTCCTGCTCCTCTGATGCTGCCTGACCTGCTGTGTTCCTCTAGCTCCACACTGTGTTATCTCAGACTCCAGCATCGACAGTTCTTACTATGTCTATTTCAGAGTCTACTTTCTTCCCAATTCCGTGCACCACAGACTCATGGGTCACAAATTTAATCCCACAATTCCCCATGCCAGTCAATTCTTAATTGTCAGCGGCAGTGAGAACTTTGATGTCACGTTGTCTGTGTGTGATGGCTGATAAAGAAAGTACAGTATTTTGTGATGCAGAATCCCATGGGATGCAGAGGGTCAATCACAGAAGCATTCAATACACTTTCAACATTAGAAATTGTTGTCCATATCGGCTTGTTAATGCTTTCTTTCAAGTCCAGACTCCGTTATCATCCATGTGGGCTCAGATACAAGGACACCAGAACTGTGATTCATTCTTTTCTGTGTTGAGATAACTAGAAAATTATAGATGCTAGATACAAACTGTTATATGATATGATTCAAGTGAAGGATATATTTATTATAAAGCTCCATTGGCATCAATTCATTTCATAGGAGATTTGGGAAACCGCATGGTGGTGTATTAGAATCTCCTTATAGTTGACTGTAGTATACAGATGGGTGATAGTCCTGAGATGGATTTTACTGATTACCCACCCCCTTGGTCAGTCTGCAACTGTCCGACATTGAAATCTGACTTCCCTACTATTGGAGACATCATTAACCAATGAAAAGTAGTGTTTTCACTCGTCAGGAACTGGATATCCCAGCCTAGAGAACTGCTGACTAATTTGTTTGGCAGCTGTGTAGTCCCAGCAGCTAGTAACGTCAGAAGAGAAGACTGACTATTGCTGTAACTACGAGCAGTCCTGAGTAAAAAGTGACTGTTTCTTCCCAGTTTCAGGTAGGTCTAGAGATCTTGGGTGGGCACAGCTGGGATACTCCAGTCTGAGATAAAGGAGTCTAGTGTGGTCAGGTTAAAGAGGTCAGGTGGGAATATGAAAGAGGATCACTGTTTGGGTGTGTGTGTCCCTAATGGGCACAGCAGAGCTCCCCCCAAACCCCTCAAAGGGTATGGTCTCCCTCTTTGCCCACCAGCAGCCATGCAGTGAAACTGCCAAGCTCTTCACCATGTCCTTCTCCGCCCACACAAACTTAAATTGTGGCAGATTGATGGCATTTGATTGTCCACTTGAGGGCCTTCATAACCTTCAGAGTGGTTTGGCTATATGCTTCTTTACCCAGTCTCCTAATATGGGGTCAGGTTGAGAGTTGGATGGGCTGGCATTCGACCTTATTTTTATGTTCTCCCTGCCTTCAAATACATCAGCAGAGAGCAGTAATATTAAACCTCCCCTCCCCCCATCTCAGAAGGCTGAAATATCTGGCCAATGAGACACACTGGTCTGACTCATCTTCTATACTTCAAAATGGACATCCAGTCTGATCAGCACACTCATTTTTTCTTGTTTTCTTGTGGGACATAGATGTCCTACATGATGGCCAGCATTTATTGCCAGTCCCTAGTTGCCCTTGAGAAGGTGATGGTGAGCTGCCTTCTTGAACTGCTGCAGTCACATACAATGGGTTGACCCACAATGCCCTGAGGGAAGGAATTCCAGGATTTTGACCCAGCAACAGTGAAGAATGGTGCTATATGTCCAAGTCAGGTTGGTGAGTGGCTTGGACTTGCAGGTGGTGGCGTTCCCCCCTAGTAGCATTATTATTTTACTAGCTTTTCCCTCTCAGACCTTTCTTTCTTCCAGTTTGCATGTAAGAACAGGTTGGTTATGAAATATAGATCCCATTGAAGCTGAAGTCTTGAGTTACTGCTTGTCTATCCATTCCACTTTTCAAGTGAACCTGAGTGGCCAGTGCTAAATCCTATGTTTGCGGAGTGTGTGCATTACCCATGAATACTTACCCTTACACCAATGTTCTAACCAGTTATTGCCCATTTTAATGTGAAATTTTGACATTTATGAATTTGATACATTTAATTACATTATTTGGCTTTGTACCCTAAAGATCATCATCTATATTATTCAGCAAGAGAAATTTAGACTGTTTTGTAACTATTTGTTTATATGTATGATGTTTATATAACAAATAATGAGGATTGTATGAAAAAGCAATAGAAAATTTGTTCATATCATGGAATCTTTCATGTTGTGTATGTAAACAATGATTTCTATTGATAAAAGTTATGAGGTTAACATGCAAATATTTAACTATTTGCCTGCATCTGTCAAATTATAAACTGATATCAGAAATATTCTACAGTTACTTCCAAAAATTGATGCATATTTAAGAATAGGTAGGTTTTTAGCATTGGAAGCTCATTATTATTCGAATCACAGGGTTATCTTAATGCCAAATGTCAGTATTTTCCAATATTTTACTAAATAGTGACATATTTCAAATTATCTATATATCACTCTATGGCAAATACAATATGCTCAGTGGATACAGGAAACATTAAGTGTGTTCACCACTGAAAAATGATTGACAGTTCCTGTTACGTGTGTATTTAAATTTGAAATAATTTACATAATTAATTGCAAAGAGCTTACATAATATGAAAACATTAGATCTTATTTTATAATGTAACCTGGCTATTAATGCATTTGAGGTCCAATTGGTCACATAAGGAAAATTCTATAGATTGACATATGAAACGTTATGAAGTGGAATTATTGTTCCTGCTCTTTCTATTTCTATGGACTGAATATGGAAAGAAGGTGAGAGAATGGTGCTGGGTGAAGTGACAATTTGGAGAAACAGTGCAGACAGCATGGACTGGTTGCCTGTCTTCTGCACTGTGTAACAATTCAGTGATTCTGTAAATGAAAATTAAGTACTAACTTTTTCTGGCAACATGGAAATTTTACCGATAATTGTCATAGATCTAGAATAAGCTTTTATTTGAAGCACTGTTTAAGTAGTTTTCACAAATCAGGTCAGACTAAT